TGGATGGAGGGATATATGACCTAGTTTTGGATAAATAAATCTAAGAATGGTTTATAATTTATGTGAGTCTATTTCCAGCTAGTCTGAAAGGCAATCTGAAACTGTGTTATCAATTAGGAGTCCATTGATGGATTATATACAGTCTGAAAGGGCCTGGGGCTGGACATCTTACAGATGAAAATATCAGACATGTGATAGCCTACAGAGCACATTAATTCTGCTCCGAAAAGGGGCTTTGGGCTGCAGAAAGAGGAAAAGGGGGGACTTGGAGGTCACCCTTCACCCTCTACCACACCTCTCACATTACAAGTAAGTGCTCAAGTATGTGGACTTTGGGACGCAGCCACCGCCTGGTAGAATGTCACAAAACTTCAAATGCAAGCAAGCCAGTGCTTAAATACCTAAATATCGCCAAAAGCTGCTTGTAAATTGAGCTGTGCCAACCATGCTGAGAACAACTCTTGTCAGGCAGGAGGTTCTACTTGAGGCATTCTAAGAATGACCAGAGAGTTCAAGATCGGGCCTTTAGCTACATCAATTACTTCAGTCATCTCTACCTTAATTTTCAGACCCTTTTACCTATCCCTTGACAACAAACCGTGAAAGGAAACAGCATTTTGTAGGAATCCTTTTCCTTTAAAAAAAAAAAAAAAGAGTCTATACTTCTGAGGCTCGAGTGCCTGGAACATGGTAAGCATTCAGCTACTGAGTTACACCTCCAGCCCTTGCAGGGATGGCTAATGGTTTATGTAGTGGAGTTGTACTCTAACCCCCGTAAAAGAAGGTACTCACAGAACAACAGATGAGCTCTTCACTCTGATTCCCACTCAGTGATCTAGCTTCATAATAAGAAAGCATCACTTGGAAGGGAACACCCCGAAGTTCCAGACCCTCTGATAATCTATCGTTCTATCTACTTTCTTTTCCTTCCTCTTCTTTCTACAGTGAACGCTCTCTGCTTCCCCGTCTCCTACCTCACACAGGAGACTCTCATTTCCAACTCTTCTTTGCCACACCAAACCCAAATGTGCTACAATTTCTCTCAACTTCAAATATCCCCTTGATGCTTAAAACACTCCACCATTTTTTTCTAAGCAAACCTTTGGGAGTTCAAAAATATGCAACTGTCTACAGCTCCTCTGCCTCAATCCCGAAAGCCTCAGACCCCAGGACCAGCCTTTCATCTACTCTGCCATTCCTCCCCACAAACTCCTGGCCTGCCATTAATGACCATATCTGTCTCTTTAACCCTTGTCCTACTGGAGAGGCTCAACAAGCTGCTTTCTCTTCTATTTTGAAACACTTTGCCACTTGCTTCAGGGAGATACTTTCGACTCCCAACCCCTGCCCACTCCTGGATCAACTGTTCCTCTTCTAATTTCTTTCCTGATGGCTTCTTGCTCAGAGTCCTCTAAGTAACAAGGGACCCCAAGACTCCATCTCCAGAGTTCTTTTCCACCTAATAGCCCGCTACATGATTATAGTGTCACAGGACACAGGTTCCACATAGAATGAATTCCAAATTTAAATCTCTATTCTGTCCCTGTCCCTAGACTCCAGATTTGTATATCCAGCCATTTAGGGGCTCTTTCTCCTCGAGTGTCTGCTAAGTAACCAGAGAACCTACTCCATTCTTGTGTGATAATCACACATCTTACCTGTGCCCTCCATGGGCCCTCTACTACATTCAGAGCAAAAGCTTATAATGGCCAGTGAAGCAAGGATACCAGGGATTGGGCCCAGAACTATCTCAACTGATACCCTATTGTAGTCCCTATACCCCTTTCACCCTACCACAGCCACAGTGGCCTTTTTTGCAGTTTTTGAGCATAAACAAACTCCAAAACCTTTGCCTTGGAGAGTAAAAGGATAGAGTCCTAGAACTCCAAATATCAAAGATCCCTATACCTCATCTCCAAGTGTTTTGCCTGGTCAGGTCTCATCTGCTTTGTGCTTCTGTAAGACACACTGAGTAAGTCAGAAGCAACAGACGGTGTTTTGGAGATTGGGATGTCTAAGAATGAGAGGCATCTGTTAAGGGCATAGCATGGGTAGGATGACCTAAGATTGAACTCAAACTCTTGAACAACTGGCATTAATTCATTTATGAGGGTACAGTCTCATGACCTAAGGTTTTGGGGGATGGGAGAACACAGTCAAATAGAAGTAGCATTTACCATCACCTGATGCACATTTCTTGTCCATTTGTTAATCAACAGTAACTCTCAACTTCTAAATAGGCTCTTTGTTCTGTTTATAGCTTCTGGCCAAGTATTTATCATGTGGCATGGTATTTAATAAATACTTATTGAATAAATCCCAGTTATGTGTATTTATTCTAGTTAGTAGCTAAGTGGTAATGATCTGGGAAATTTGCTTCTGTATTCAATAAGAAAAAGATATGGTGTTCTTATTATTAATGATGGTGTTAGATCCCAACAATGAGCTTGCTGTCAAAAATTTGGAATAGGTAAATGACAGTAGGGAAATAGGAATGAGGCTCTTGATGTAGCTGCTCCCAGACCTGCCATGGCTTGGTCCTTCACTGAGGTAAAAGACGCAAGAGAGTGCCATTCTACACTCCATGTGTTCATGGACCACCCTCATTCTGCCTCTGTGTATGCACACACATGTCTGCCCTTGTGTATGTACATAGAAAGTATGTATAGGTATGTGTATATGCATGCATGCATGTGATTGTAGACAGGTGTGCATGAGCCACAGCACATTTATAGAAGTCACAAGGACAACCTTAGGTGACAGTTCTTGCCTTCTACTTTTTTTAAGAAAGGGTATCTTTTGGTCGTCTGATGCTGTGTATGCCAGGTTAGCTGGCTCGTGAACTTCAAGAGATACTCCTGTTTCCACTTGCCATCTATCTCAGGATTATAGATACACACTCAGCTGTATATGGGCTCTGGGGATTTGAACTCAGATCCTACTGCTTTGAGGCAAGCATTTCCCCTCCAGAGTCACCTCCCCAGCATCAGCCTGTCCTTTCTTATTGTCCCAATCACATAACCAGGAGTTAATGAACCCCACCCCCAGAAACGGAGGATCTATTTTCAGAGACATGTTGACAAAGGGGCTATCTACCAAAAAGGAGTGAAATAACAGCCTTGGACATCTGGGCAATCAACCAACACCAGCTTGAAAATGTGCGGAAACACCCGAGTGCACTGAATGGTGAAGACCTTTCCCTGTTATTCCCTAAAGAATGCAGTGTGGCAGCCATTTACATACCATTTGCATGATATTCAGTATTAGAAGTAATCTGGAGGCGAGTTAAAAAATGAGAGAGAGCATAAACACTGTATGCAAATGCCACACTATTTTACATGAGGGCTTGAGCTTCTGCAGATCTATGTGTCCACAGAGGACATCCTAGGACCAAACTGAGTGGCTGCTATAGTCTGCAATTCCCTTGTTTTATTTATCTTTTCCTGGTTCTGAAAGACACCTTGTTCTCAGTTTGAAATGAAGAATACTCCAGCATCCTTAAAAGATAACTATCAAAATTATTTAAATTGGTCTCTAGACCTTATATAAGTGAGTAATGTACTATTCTTTTTCTTTATTAATTCAAGTGGAAACCTCTGAAGTCCTGTGACTCAATACTTGGAACCACAGACGGCACTAAGCTACCCTGTGTGTCTTTGGGAAATAGTTACACCTGATTTCTATCCACAGACTGTTGTTGCAGCAACATGTCTTGGGTTAGTTACTGAGTGTTTTGGAGGAAACACACTGAGCCTGAGAATCAAGTGTCAACTCTGTGGCTTGTGCCAACTGTAGAATCTTCCACAATTAACCTTTTCCCATTCCATGCCCTTATATATTCTCTTTTAATAAAAACTCTTCTCACTTAACTTCTTGTGTAGCAGTAAACTTCACCTGCTCCAAAGGACTTCCAGACTCTCTGACCAAATAAAAATGATGGACTATGTGATACACCTTGGCTCAGAGTATGTGCCTGGCAGATGAAGGCTGGATCATTTATCTAGCAGTTATAGTTTCATTATCCCCAAGCAGCTTAAAACTTACGACTCTTTTCTTTCTAGACCCAACAGGCTCCCTGGTTTGTGTATACAATTCCCAAAGACTACAAACTCTCCCCCAGGGAGAGCCTGGATGGGGTCATAGAAGTAAATATTCCTGTCCTCTGGCTTCGCTCTTGAGTTTTATGTGTCTATAAGAGTTCTGGGGTTTGGGAAATGTAGACCTTCATGCTTAAGGATGATCCTTCAACTTCCTAGCATGTGAAGGCTTAGGACCTTTCCAGGCCCTTGGTAAAATCTGAAACTTGAGGCTGCTATTGTTTCTGAAAGCCCTCCCAGCTCTTAAATGGGGAAGCCTCCAGGTCTTGAGATCTTAACCAACAAGTACAAGTATACACAAGACAGTGCAGGAGAGGCACCTGGAACAGAACCTCCAGGGCAAGAAAGGAGAGATTGTGCGGACTTTGAAACTAGAAACTGCTGTATAAACAGGTTCCTACGAGCTGCTACCACTGTATATAATGGAGTTCCAGTGAGGTAAGAAAGCAAGTTCAAGCTCAGCCTAGAGTGTAAGGGAGCTGATTCCACTAGTAGGAAATCCTTCCACTGTTCATCTAGAAAACCCTAAAACAAATCGAAAGATTACTGATAGAAAATGCAAATGCAAATGAATACCTCTTATTACAAGAATAACTAGGACTCTGACATAGCTTTTAAAATAAAGATTGTAAAAGTCCTATGGAATGAGAAGCCATATTGAGGAGCCTGGCATAGTACTTGGCATGTGTCATATATACAGGTGTACAATACATGTTTAATACATATCAGCTTGAAAGTCTTTCTGTCTTTCCTACAGTTAACTTTCCCAAGAAACACATACAAATTTAAGTATATAATGTTGTTCTTTAAAATGAACGCAAATCCATTTGAGGCAATACATTTGTTCAGTATGAATATGTAGGATGCAGTTCACCTTTAGGAAATGAGACACTAAATACTGACCTGAATTTAAGTCTCGCCCCGGGTTGAAGGCTCGGCTGTTCACGGTAGTAGAAAGTCGATCACAACTCACTGTTCTGGATACATTGGTATTGAAGTTCCCATCAAACCTGAAACAACAGGAACAGATTAGCAGTGTATATGTAGAAAAAACTACCAAAGATAATCATTTGTACCATGTATAAATAGGCTAGCCCATAGATAGGAGGATGATGAATTAACGACAATAAAACAGTAAAAATGATTTGTAAATAACACAGGAAGTAAAGGAGTACCGGTGTCTAGAAGGCTTAGAAGTTCTAATGCTGGGAGAATAAAAGAAAACTGGGCTTTGAAAGCAATTTTTACTCAAGGAACTTGAGTTATTACTATCTACAAAAGCACGTGCAAAGTAGATGACAAAATTCAGACTTGAGCAATGCTGTGGCTATGAAACAGAGTTTCTCATTATACCATATCTGGACAGCAGGGGCCAAGTCTACAATGGTAGTCAAAGGCAAATACCAACTGTGGAGGAGAAATATCTCTGTCCTGTCACTCACTGCTAAATGTCTGACCTTGAGAAATTTACGTCAGTTTTCTTATCTATAATAATAATTTATAATAATAATACCTTAAATGCCCTTCCCTGATAATGAGATTGATGTCTAGTTTATCTGCCAACATAGAGCCCTCATCTAGTAGCTGATGGAAACAGAAGCAGACACCCACAGCTAAACACTGAGCCGAACTCCTGGAATCCAGATGCAAAGATAAGAAAATGGGGACAAGACCAGGCTACAGAAACCAACAGAGAAAGCTGACCTGAACAAGGGGGAGCAAATGGACCCTCAGAAACCAGCATTATACTGATTCAGACTCCCCTGAACGTGGGTCTCAGTTAGAAGGCCTGGGCAGTCTAAGAGACCTCTGACAGTGGAACCAGGATGTATCCCTGGTGCACAAAAGGACTTTGGGAGCACATTCCCCATGGAGGGATACTCCCTTAACCTAGAGGCAGGGGGGAGGGCCTAGTCCCTACTCCAAATGACTTGACAGATTTTGCTGATCCCTCCTGGCAGGCACCACCCTCCCTGTGGAGTAGGGAGGGGATGGGATGGGAGGGGGTGGAGGGAATGGTAGGGAGGGAGGAAGGGAGGGAAGGGAACTGGGATTGATATGTAAAATAATAAAAATAAAAATAATAATAATAAAACTTACTTTCCAAAGTTTTCAAAAGGGTCAAGAGTGATGTGGACATGCTTCTCTTGGAACCTCACTGAGAACTGCCCCCTGCCCTGTTGCTGTGCATAGAAAGCTCAAGTTTCTTGATTCCTTATGGTAGTTCAATGTTAGTACTAAAGGCAGAACATTGCCAATACCTGTAGTGGCATCTTACACAAGTTGCCACTACAGGTACCCAATCAGATCACAGCTGAAGCCAGTGAATCATTTGCTTAAGAAAACAATCTGAAAGAATCTACCAGGACACCCATTTATAGTCAGTAAGGAATGACAAAAAAGCTTCAATTTCCACATTTCAACTTCAGCGCTCCAAGGCAAAGGAGCTCCTGGAAATTCCGGGAGGCTGTCAACACCCTCAACCCAACACCAGCTCTTGAAATCTTGTGGAATGTATAGTATAGTTCTCATGAATTAACCTGTGAATGTAGAGAATTCCATTACTACATGCCAGGAGGAACATTCTTAAACTCAAGATCCATCTAATCATTCATGACCTTGGATTATCTATTGGTCATCTCATAATTATCTAAGAACTGCTGAACTATCAGCTATCAAAGGGAGCTGTGGTTTCAATCAGTTTCAATCCCCAAAATGAAAGAATATTTTTAAGTGTCTTCACAAAGATGAAAGAAGTAACTAGGTTTTAAGAGTGCTTTATTCCAGCCACCAGGCTATTTGAGAATCCCATCAACAATGTAGGATGCACGTCAAAGGACACCGTTGCTTCACCCACACAGTGGCTCTGTCTTGGACTTGTTTGTCTAGATGAGAGGACTGCTTCCTTTGAAGCCACAGATGAGGAGAAAGCAGAGATTAACACAGTACCAGCTACCTACATGCATGATGCTGACACAAGGCAATCTCATTGTCCTTGTATACTAGCAAACAGAAGTCATTTCCTTCACATTTCATAGAAGGCCAGATAAGAAATATTTGGGCTCTTGTGGGTCATACATTCTGTTGGGACACTTCCACGATAGTGTACTTGTCACTAGAGTGCACAAGCAGCCACAGAGAATTCATGACTGAGTGTAGCTGGCTTTTAAAACAATTTTAGTTTTCTAAAAAAAGGTGTTGTGCAGCTGGGGGTGGTGGAGCATGCCTTTAATCCCAGGAGGTAGAGGTAGGTGAAGCTGTGAGTTCAAGGCCAGCTTGGTCTACAAAGTGAACTCCAGGATAACCAGGGCTACACAGAGAAACCTTGTGTTGAAAAAGAGAAAAACAAAACAAAACAAACAAACATTGTTTTGGTCAAATAGGTGCTCATGCTAACTGACTTGTCATGAGTATTCATGTGCCCAGTCCCATCTGAGCTACCCAGAGGCTCCTTACATCTTAATGAGAACTGACTCATTTGAATGGTTGCAAAACTACTACCTAGCTATACCAGAATCACCAGGGCAGATGCTGTGCTCTGCCTTTGCAGAGACTGAGTTATTGATTTGGGGAGCATGGACATCTGAGTTTGACTGCTTCCGAGGACCAAGAAAGCCCTTCGGTGTTGTCACACAAACTTTTGGAAATTAAGAGGATGGCTTTCCGAATGAGCACAGGTAACCCTTATTATGTCTCAAAGACACCAAGGACAAGGGCCTTTAGATTTGGTTCACTAAGGATGGAGGGTCTTTGGGTTTGGTTTGGATCAAGAGAATGGAATAGTACCCAGGTACGCCTGTAGTTCATAGCTAGACTTTGCTATGCAAATTACAAAGCCCCTTTAGACCTACCTATTTCACAGTATAGAAAAAGGGGGGGGGGGGGAATGACGACTAAGGATACACAGCAAGTGAAGGAAGTAAGGAGACTTGGAATCTGGACCCAACTCTTTTGCTGAGAAGAGACACACAGCATTCTTATAAATGACACAGAAGAAAAAGCTTCCTGAAAAGGGCAATTCAAGAAGATGCCTGACACATCCCACCAGGAAAAATTTGGCTCAAATATAGTCCACGTGTGCTCACACAGGGTGTCCACAGCCAGGACCTCTGCTAGGAGTTCCATCCCCAGAGAGCTGCTATTAGAAGGTGAGGGTACATAAACTTCTGCGGTCTTCGTGAAATGAAAACTGGCTTCTTGGAACCAGGGAGACCAAGGAACTATTGGCGTTTCTGAAGGAGTTTCCATCCTCTATGGAACAGACAATCTCTACGAGTCCTAGAGAGAATGTATCTACAGTAATAAAAGTGGAAGTGACTGGCTAACAAAAGCTCTGCTCCACATACCTTGGTTGACCACAAACCAGTTTGACGATGTGGTGTGTGTCGTATCATTATCATTACTATCTCCCTAGCCTACAACCCAGCTCTTACAACCTTCACTGCTAACCACACCAGATTGTGAGTATGGGCTTGCCTGCAGATCAGCAGTGTCCACCCCACCCCCTCTTCAAGGCTGGCCCATCAACCCATATTTCTCCTGAAACAGCTCAGGGGGGCTTCTTTCCCCACCTTCACCGGCGTTGTTCTGCTTCTTAATTATGAGCCTGTGCCTTTTTCCTGTTTGTTTATTTGTAATAATCAGATTTAAAATAGGGCCACTGTCAGGAATCCTGGGTGAAAGGGTGCAAGGCAGCCCTCTAGGACTGTTTCTGCAGCCACTCCCCAAAGGCTGCACTTTCTAATGAGATCACGGCGGTGATCATGTTTCAAGAGTGTAAATGTCAGGGGAAAGGGAACATAAACCCTGAAACAACACATCAATAAAAATCCAAAAATAAGATGAGCAATGTATCCTTTTCTTTGTAACCACTCAATACTTGTTAGCGGGGGTGGGGTGGTAGTTAGCAGTTTGGGAAGCCCTGTTAGGCAACCAGCCCCCAGGCAGCCCTTGAACTCTCATACATCTCCAGTGTAGACAGCTTTGAGTTTCCTCATCTGCGCTGTGCCTCAGCCCATCTATGTGCAAGTTCACGTAAAGCCTGGAAATAGGTCCACCCTGGGCTGACCTCACCACCTGTGCCGCTGAAGCGTCAGTCAGGTGAGGGGGAAACGATATCAGGGGGCGTGGAGCGACAGAGCTGGGAGGAGAGTTCTGGGGCTAGTGGGCCACTAGATAAGCATCGGTAATCACTAGAAGCAAAAATAAAAGGGGTTTCTCTCCCAGCCCTCCAATCACACACACGCTAACACCTGCTGTTGTCTGGACTCCAGATCGGCTGAACTCTATACATATGGGAAGGAAACCCGCTTAGTCATCCTGGTGCACTAGTTATCTCCAGGCCTAGGGAGAACGGTCAACAGCCCAAAGGCGGGATTTCTTTTAATGCGCATGTGCCATCAAGAAAAGCAATTTCTAAAAGGCAACATGCTAGCCAGTCAGATCTGCAGCCTGAGAAGACAAAGTTTACGGCTAAAATTCTTTATAAAAACATGTAAGCTACTCTTAGGACTTATCTGAACCACTTTGCATTGGGAGATGTATTAGCTGCCAATCATATGGCTCTAAGCCCAGGTTTATAAGAGGGGTCAAGCACTAGAAAAATGACACATTTTCATATAAGATGGCTAAGCGATCAGTTTAAAAGGCATGATTCATCTCATTCTTTGTATGTATGCTTTTAGAAAGTTGGCAATAGAAAAATCCTACTTAAATCTCCTTTAGACCTTGAGGTTTAGAAAAAAATAGATAACGGATTAAATCAGACTTCTCTACTTATTTTCATAAGATAAAACCATTGCCTAGAATTCAGTTTCTGGAGGAATAACTCCATCTCTCTTACCCCCTTAAGAAAGAAAGAAAAAAAGAGAAAAAAGCCCTTCTTTTTGGATTTACTTTCATGAACAACTGATCGAAACTGCGTCCCCAGGGAGAAAACAGGGCTGTGACTCCCACTTTGATCTCTTCCCCATGGAGAAATTCACTCCCTGCCTGCCTTGCAAGATGTTCA